GCAAAAATCTTAAAAATTCATAACACAAAGACAAATCTAACAACTATTGATTTAAATATTTACTTGAGAACTTCTGGATGACACTTCTCTCTGAATGATTTTCTGGATAACACTTCCTTCTTTAGAGGCGAGGTGTGCTCCTCTCCGCCATTCTTGCCGCTTAAAAATCGATCATGAGAAATATCGATTACGTTCGAGAATCGTAGGAAATGTATTCCGTATTTCGCCGCACATTGGCGCTGTAATCTTTAATTAATTTAAATTCAATACGCGCGCATTTCGCGCGAAATGTTAACTGAGAATAAAAGATAAAAAATTCTGAACTAAATAAAATACACAAAATTCGTGAGAAATTCTTGAAAAAGACCGAAAATATTCATATACTAGATGAAAAATTGTCAGTACTTTAAACTGTTATAATTTTGTGAATAAAATTGTAGAATAATTAACTTGATTTTATTTTAAAGAATGTTTCCACTTTAACAGTCTTGAGTTTGTTTCGTTCAAAGATATTTATTTTTACATCTATTATGTTGTTAAAAAATATATTTCAATCAATTTTTTCTAATACTTTTAAATAGATAATACTTGTTAAATAATCAAATATATAATAAATTTTTCATCCCAATTTCCATCAATCGCTATATTTTAAATCGTTATATTCCTTCACTGATGAAGGAACCACATTCAATTCAATAAATAACTCTCGAAACAGATGCAGCCATATTTTTTTATTTCGATTCTTATCACCAGTAGCGGTACAAAACTTGCCCAAATTGATACGATAGGATGTGACACGGAAATGGTAACGGGATCCCAGTACGCTGGAATCATGGGATAAAAAACTACGTTGCACGAGAGATCTATTCATATACCTTGTCTGTCGTGTAATTATACTCCCCGTCTGCTGATAGAGAAAAAGAAAATATTTTTATTTATTAACTCCCTTACGACTTGCAACATAGAAAATTCATTCGAAGATGAAATAATGTTTCACGCTCTTTGGATACTCCAAAAGTTCGACACAATCAGAACGCGATTGCCACGTTGTTCGTATCTAGAGGGTTAATAATCCCACCAGCTCGATTGACTCAACCCACCAAATTTCATCTCGTTACGTCATTCGTTGGTATATTTAAATCGAAGAAAAATTAGATCCGATGTTTGTCGTGGCACTCGCTCGGGAAAACAAGCGGATGCAGGCTACTGGCCGTCAATCGAGTATCTAGAGCACGAACGAGCAACGTGGTTTTTTGTCGGAATTTCCGGTAGCGATTTATCAAACGGGAAAGATGCTATCGAGCGAAGAGGAGCGACCGGCAAGAAACCGACTTCTCGCTCGGAGGGCTGACTGGAAGGAGCTAGAGAAGCGGAAGCACGAAGAAAGAAGGAATGGAAGGCAGAAGAAGCGAAAAGAAGATGGCTCGCGAGGAGGCTATCCCGCGCGAGCTCGGAACGCGTGGTGGTGCTACTGCAACCAGGCAGGGGCAACCGTGTATGCATGCTCGAGCGCTATCAAGTGTCAAACGAACCGAACGTAAGAAAAACCAAACGCTGTTCGAGGCAGCAGGCCACGGAATTTTGAGAGAACGCAGTCAGACAGGAGAAGAGGAGAAACTCTAGATTCTAGACGATATCCTTCTCGTAACAGTCATCCACACCGGTTGGGGCCCTCTTGGCACGTCACATTCTTGACAGCTCGAGGAAACCCGACCAAGAGTGTCCTCCAGCTCGACCACCAGCCGATTCTAACCCCTTTTGCTTCCCCACTTTAGAGACCTTGGAGAGCGAATTTGCCTGCAAGGTGATGTACACCACGAGATATACGCTGTGGATCTAAATTCATGTAACTTTTAATTGCACGCGTGTCCGTTTAAATACAGTTGATCGCAAATAAAATTGCGTGACAATTCGATCGCATAAAAATATGTAATACCCGAGGATTTCCTAAATTAAAAGATTTAAAGTGCTAAAGACTATACTGAAAGACGTGCACACGAAACGTAATTTCTACTTTATTGAACTCACGGTTACATAAAAGAAAACTTCTCGAAACCAACTGTCTACCAACAGAGTTCTCTCTCTGTAGTTCAAGATATATTTTGCAGTTTCATCGTAGATCATCGGTGCATCGTTGTCCTTCGACCGTACTCTAGGACCGGAGAACGCACGTAAGTTTTATTACGCATTCGCGAGGAGGAACGATCTTTCTTCCTTATTTCTTTCGAGCGACCAAAAGTGGTAGTGGCTGGTAAAAAAAAAA